TAAAAAAAAATAAAAAGTATATTCGGTATCTGTAAGTGGGGAGGAAAAGAAGGGTTGAAGGGAAGGGAGGGGAATGAGAAAAAAGAACCGAGAGATACTGTGGACAGGTACGAAGTCCCTATAAGAAATGTGAGCACTGTGTAGGGCACATTTGTACTCATAAATACGTTTCAAAATGTGTCCAGTGACGTTATGAAAGCAGGTAAGGCTGACTAGGTTCAGGACTCACCGTGACAGGTGTCGGGCCACCTCAATGAGTTCGTGCAGTGGCGGAGAGAGATGGGCACCGGCCCTGGACACGAGGGCACGTGGGAAACGACCGCGCTCCATCTCTCCCAGCAGCGGGCCGCAGTGGCTCCTGACAGGCGAGCGCAGAGGGGCTGGATGGACCTCAGCGCAGAGCTCTCTCCGCCTGGCTGTCCCCTCTCTCTTGCCTGGTTCGACCTGGTGGACGAGGACCGGTCAGCGTGAAGCGCCCTGCCCAAGAGGCCCGGCTTAGGGTTGGGCTCTGGCCCTTGCTCTGCCACTGACCCGTGAGTCCTGAGGGTGCAGCTGGGGAGACTGAGTCTCAGAGAGGAGAGCAAACTGTTTCCCCACTGGCCACCCACGAGTGCTTCTGAAGACATGTTACTGCCGTGGTTGGGAGGTTAAAAGAGTTAGGGAATTGCTGGATCAGAGCCTAAAGACTCTCTGACCGGAAAGACTTTTCAGAGCCTTTAATACACTATGATTTGTGCATATACAACTGTTTCCTCAAATTCTTTTTCAAATTTTAATTTCAATTTGATTTTTTTCAGGGCTGAGACTGGACTGTCCCACTACTGAGCTATATCCCAGCGCCATCTGTCAGTTCTTTTGACTGAGAAGCCACTTCCCACGGTGACCGGGAAGTCAGCTGTGCTAGGTGACACCTGAATAATGCCCCTAACTTCAGGGGAGTCTTACCCTTAACACTGCCCTGCTGGCCAGCTGATCGGATCCCTCAGCTCACCTGAGTCCAGCCCCTCAGGGTGCACAGAACGCTCCCCCACTGAGGATAACCTCTCGTTCTGATAAATTCAGATGCTGAAAGTACAAGTCAAAATGTATTCAATACACCTTTGTGCTCGACCATAAAGGCACGTGAGGTTATGTTACTGAACTGCATGCAAATAAAATAAACTGTGAAGTTATAAATGATCTAGCAGGAAGATCTTAGCAGCGCAGAGCAGTGTAGAATGCAGTGGTTTCTGCTGGTCATGGGAGGCGGGTGCGACCCGATGAGGGTGCGTGGTGATTCAGAATCAAAACCTTTTGTCCCTTGGACTTGCTTGGCCCCACCTTCCAGGGAGGGAGCTGGGGCGTGGCCCCTTTAAGAACCTCCGTGAGGCTGAGTGCGGCAGTTGGAGCCTAGGGGAGGAAGGACAGGGGCGGGACTCCTCAGGTGTGTAGGGGCCGGGTCCTCTGCTCCCACTGTGCCGGCCTTCTGCGGGGCCCCTCTCTGAGCCTGGTCTCCCTCCAGGTGGGCAGCACCCCCACCTGTGGGCCCCTCACGCGGGGTGCCTGTGTGACAGCCTGGGAAGCAGGGCGGGTGTGGAAGGGTGGGGCAGTGTGGCAGCCGCCTTGAGCAGCACTGCAGCTAGACGAAGGGGTGTAAGCAAGCCGATTTCCGCCTTGTGAGCAGGTGGGAAAGTCTGGCCTTAAGAGAGCAGAGAAAATCCTTCTTTTTGCCTGGCGTGTGCATGGTCAGGTGGGGGCACAGGGCAGCTAGGCCGAGGCCAAGCTGGCCCCAGAGCCCTGAAAGTCCAGGCCCTGGTTGTCCGTGGGGTCTGGAAAGTTCCCGCGAGCCTGGGAGCGTTTGGAGAGGGCTGGGCAGGAAGAATGCAGGCCCAGGGTGGAGAATGCAGAGGCAGCCTCCAGGAGGTGAGGAGGGAGGCCTCGCGGCCTGGCCTCCCTGCCTAGCGCACAGAAGCTGCTCTGTAAATGCCAACCGTATGGTTGACAACTTTTTTTTTTTTCCTGTGCTAGAGATTGAACCCAGGGTCTCGGGCACGCTGAGCATGCGCTCTACCACTGATCTGCAGCACCAGCCCCTGAAAATTTTGGGACGACCTGAGTCCCTTGAGTTCTTTCTCCCATCCCAGGACAGTGGGGCCCACGTGATGTGGACTCCTTCACTGTGAACTCAAGAATGACTCTTCCTAAGGTTGCTGCTTGTATAAACTAATAGAAAAGGAAGATTAGCCCAGCAAGAGCCGAGTGAGAAACCTGAGAATCTGTCTGAATAGAGTGCCCAGTGCCCACGGGGCCTCTTCCCACTGGTGCCTCCCCTCCCGGGCCCCTCGGCACCCCACCCACTCCCGCACACCTGGGGCCTGAGCCGGCAGGGCTGCAGGCCCCCCTCCTCCTGCCTGCTGCACGCAGGGCTTCCTCTGGCCTGGTTGGGGAGACCGAGCTGAGGCGAGCTGCTGCCCGTAGGCCGTTCTCCTGTGGGCCCAGCCTCTGAGTGCTGCACCTCTGCAGCCCCATCCCCTGCAACGCGGCCTCTGAGTGCTGCACCTCTGCAGCCCCATCCCCTGCAACGCGGCCTCGGGAGCTCAGCACACTTGCTAACCCCTTCACTGTCTTCCATCACTGAGGAGACCCCTGCGTCTCACCGCCTCTCCAAGTTGTGAGCCCTTGGCTTCATCTCACCCCACCCGTGAGCCCTCCCTTTCACCCCACAGCCCAGGATCGAGGTCCCTAGGTGCCCGGTGAGCACCCTGGAAGCTTCGTTCCATCTCAAGCAGCCTCTTCAACTGACTCCTCAGTCACCGCCTCTGGTATTTTGCCAACATGGCGATCAGACTCCTGGGTCCTCACCGTCTTCCTTTACCTCCCCGGTTTGTCCATCCCACCACCGCCACTCAGCCGTCTGACCCCAGTTTCTTTCTGGAGTGAGCACCCCTTCCACACTGGCTGTCCTGAGCCAGGCCCTGAGCACCATCCCCAGGGACGTGTGACAGAACAACGGCCCGGATCCTGACTGATAGGGAGTTACGCGCCCCCCAAAAGCAGAGGATTTACCAGGGTATTATTATTTTTAATTAAAAAGAAAAAATATCGAGTGCTAAAGCATAAAGGACAGTAAAGTTATATTACTGAACTGAATGTAAGCCCTGTATAATTCACCATGAAACTATAAATGATCTAACAAAACTATAGAGCAAATAGGTAATATAAATGCCTTACTTTCCGTCTTGAAGCTAAAGGTCAAGGAAAGATAGAGCCTGGAGCTCAGATAGGATGGGAAATCTTTCTCATGGTTATGCTATGCATCATAGCAAAAGAGATTTTGCAGCAGTAATTAAAATTACTAATCAGCTGTCTTTGAGTTGATCTAAAGGAAGAGCATCCAAGTGGGACTGCCCTTGAATTCTCACATGGAGATTGTTGAAAGCAAGACAGGGACAGCCGGCATGGTGCAGCACGCCTGTAACCCCAGCACTCGGGAGGCTGAGGCAGGAGGATCGCTGTGAGTTAGACCAGCCTTAAAGGAAGAGCATCCAAGTGGGACTGCCCTTGAATTCTCACATGGAGATTGTTGAAAGCAAGACAGGGACAGCCGGCATGGTGCAGCACGCCTGTAACCCCAGCACTCGGGAGGCTGAGGCAGGAGGATCGCTGTGAGTTGGAGACCAGCCTGGGCTACACAGTGAGTTCCAGGTCAGTCTCAACTACATAGTGAGACCCTGTCTCAAAAAATCAAACAAACAAAAAGACAGGGACAGGTAGTAGAAGAGGCCCATGGGAGGAGCTCACGGCAAGGAACTGTAGGCAGCTTATATCAGCTGAGAGATGCTCTCAGCCACAGCCCACAAGAGAACAGGGCCCTCAGGCTGATGGTCTCCAAGAAGTGACTTCTGCCGATGACCGAAATGGCGGTGGAAAAGGCCACGGCGCCTCAGGTGAGGTAGCAGTCCCAGCTAATGCCTTGACTTCAGGTGGACAGGACACAGAGCAGAGGACATAGCTGAGACCAAGGCTCCCACAGAAACTGTGAAATCATAAATGAAGGTCTCTGAGGGATCAAGTCTGTGGTGACTGGATACATAACAACGGAAACTTAATGCAACCTCTACACCGTACAGTCAAAATTGACAGAGCTACCAAAACTATATGAAAGTTATATTTTTCTGTACTAATTCTTAATATTCCATTGCAGCACTGTAGCAGACTTCTGACAGGAAGGAAATTTTTTATACTACTTATTAACCACAGACCAGTCACAAAAGTAGCTATGTAGTTTACTAGAAATTTCTGTATAAATTCTAAGTAGAAATGGTGGAATTATTCTTCATAATGAAAAAATTAATAGAAACTAACAATTTCAATATATATAATTCTTATACTGAACTTCCACAGGGGGTTGGATTTTCTGTGTATCACATTAAGACATTAATACTACTTATTAACCACAGACCAGTCACAAAAGTAGCTATGTAGTTTACTAGAAATTTCTGTATAAATTCTAAGTAGAAATGGTGGAATTATTCTTCATAATGAAAAAATTAATAGAAACTAACAATTTCAATATATATAATTCTTATACTGAACTTCCACAGGGGGTTGGATTTTCTGTGTATCACATTAAGACATTAACTACTGAGCCAGGGATTTTTAGCTCAGTGGCACTGCGCCTGCCTCACAAGCGCAAGGTCCTGAGTTCAATCCCTACAACCAGAAGGAATTGTATCACAGGCTCTTTTTGGGTTGAACCTCCCTCTCTGTTCAGAATTGGTGGCATGTGATCATGGTGCACTATTCTTGTAGTGTGTTGCCTTACTCTCTTGCTCCTTGTCCTGCGATACCCATAAAGAATTTGGTGTGTGTATGTGTGTGTGTGTGCATCCTCACTGGGCTTTACAATCAGGGTCACACCAGCTTCCTCTTCAGGGAAAAGGTCTCAGGAAGGCCATAAGAGTCTGTGTTCATTGCTTTTCATTTGTTTCCTTCTTTTTTTTTTTTTTCCTGGCCAGTGATTTCTTCCCAGAAGCAGCAGCACAGTTCAAGATGGCACCACATGGTAGGTGATATTCTGTGAGGACTCTGTTTCTGAGGACTCATGAAAACAAAGTAAAATAAATCCTGTTTACTGAGTACCATGAGAATATCACAGTTAACATTTCAATTGTGTGTGTGGCCAAGGGATGGGGAGGCAGCTTGGTCTGGAGCTATTTTTACCTTGTTCCCCCGGCAGCCTTGTTCTTGTTCCCCTTGCTGCGCACCTAGAAATGACCCTCAACACTTAATTCTTTTTTTTTTTTTTTCATACCGGGGATCGAACTCGGGACCTTGGGCTTACGAGGCAGGCTGCAGCTAAATCCCGGTCCAACGCTTCATTCACAATGTCACACGTTTTTGCCCTGCCCACTGTCTCTCTCTCTTCTCTGCCACCTGCTCAGGCCCCCTTGCTCCCGCCCTCCCTTCCCTTCTACACAACTGCAGCCCCTCCCACCCAGCCTAGCAGAAGACTTCACTTTCTTGCTTGAGAGCTCTGTGATTTCGCACCCGGCCTTCTCCCTTTGTTGCCAGTCAACTGAGGTTTCTTCGGCTTGATTCAGCTGGAAGTCGAGAATCAGTCAAGTGCAGGTGTCCTACCAGTCCCGATGCCACCAGATGACCCTGGAAGCAACAGCTGGCACAGCTGGCTACCGGTCGCTGCCACTGCTGGCTGCCACCAGCTTGTACCACGCGCTGTGGGTTGATGCTGCTGGGTGCTGGTCTCTGCTACTGATCTTTGTTGACTGCTGATCTCTGAAGCGCTTTAGGGGTAACAGACCCGGGTGTTTATTGCTTGCTCTTTTAAGGCAGTGGCTTGGTCCGAACCTGAGTAGGTTTACAGGACCTGTGTGGCCCACGCTACCCAAGAAATAAGTCACAGCCAGGTTCACACACCACGCCTGGCTGGTGTCTGCCTCGTGAAGGCCTCTTAGGATGTCAGAAACAATTTAAATTCTGTGTTTACTAGAGCAATGTGTTGCAGTTCTCCCCAACCTCTTTGCTGCTGCAAACAACTGGATGAAAAAGCACACTCTACTCAGCAATGCCTCTGCTGCTCCTGAGAAGGCACCAGAGGCAAGTGCAAGAGCTCCTGTGCTTGTGATTGCTCCTGTTTGCGCACGTGTGTGATTAATGTGGATTCCGATGATCAAAAAATATTAGTGAAATAACTTCTACAATTGCTAAAATGGTTCATAATTCATGTTTGGTTTGCCGAGCCCAGAATCCTGAAAAGACTGTAGAAACTGCTGGTGCTGCATCTCCACCGTCTGACGGACCCCTTTCCGCATTTACAGGCAGATTCATTCCGCTGCCACCTTCAATAAGTTTCCAGTATGTGCTTGTCATAGTTCGTGTGCCTTCTGGTCGGATAGAAGCTTTCCCAGATAAGAGAGCTGATGCTAGATAAACTACTGGAAAATGCATTTCTTTCACGGGACATCCCTGCCAAATTCCACACAGAGCATTCTGTGGGACGATAATTTTTGGATGGCTGTGGGTAGCTTTAGCAATGTCCTGTGGTCTATCAGGAAACCGCAGTGATGGCTGGATCTGCAAGCTAAAGCCAAGCCTCAGGAGAATATTCCATTAATATCAGTCCCTCTGCACATTCCAAACAAGAAACACCTAGAAACCCCAAAGGGAAAATGGAAAGTTATTCTTGAATTTTTAAATGTCAGTATTTTTCTTCCCACGGCTTGCTAGACAGTAGTACTCATCTCTCTGTTAGGTATGGGAAATCTGACTGATGGTACTTGCAAAGATATACTGTGCTTCCAGAAGTTGGATATTTGAGGCCCGAAAACTAGGTCAGTAGGTATAAATGGTTGTTTATTTAATGTCACTGGATTATGACCAGTAGGCTCCCTTGTCCATAGATATTGTGACGATTTCTTGAAACAGACAGCAGACAACCTGAGAGCAAATTTTCCAGTTTTCTTTCTTGAGGAGCCATGCAGATTTTTTGGGCAAGCGCAAAGAACTGACCCTCGCCCAGATGTCCGCGGGTGGCCCTCCTTTCCAGCCGCGAGGGTCTATACTGGATCTGTGGAGAATTCACTTATTCTGTCCTGTCTTGTCATTAGTTTGGACCTTGCTGTTTGGTCTGGCTCCCTCTTTGCCTAATAGCTTTCGCCAGAAGTTCCAAGAACCCTATCTTAATTCAAATGTCAATCTGGTCAATAACTGAAACTGGTACCTCCCTTGCAATAAAAGAGGAAGAACTGGTTTCCACTGAGGAGAGATTCCTATGGGATTCCTGGGGAATTAACAGTTAAGAATAATTTTGGACTTTGTAGCCAATCCAGCTCCTCAGGGATTCAGTGAGGTAGAAGCCACCCTCCAACAAATGCGTGCAAATATTAGTGCATAGCAAAAGGCAACGGCAAGTCACATGGGTCTCTGGTCCAGTTAGGGACCCGTGCGTGTCACTAGACAAAACTGAAGGCTTCACTTTTCCTGACTTAACACTAAGGAGAGCTTAAGGAAAAGTGGCGGACTCTGTCTGGACGTGGTCACCAAGACATTAAGAAGTTATGCAGGGGAAGGTAACATAAGGTGTGTTTCAGGAATGGCTAGTGGCTCGTTTGCAGGCGTCCCGACTAGTGCTAAGCTTGGCGTCAAAGGTTTCCTAATCTCTACATTTCCTGTAGTAGGCTGCCAGATGACCATGAGTATGTCCCCAGACTAACCACAGAATTGAATGTCGTAATGGAAAGATAGCCCTGTTCCTGGATAGGCAGGGCCAATATTGTCAAAACGGTCATACTCCCAAAAGTGGTATACAAGCTGGATTCGGTGGCACACAGGCCTGTAATTCCAGCACTTAGGAGGCTGAGGCAGGAGAATTACCATGAGTTCAAAGCCAGTCTGAACTACAAGGCAAGACCCTGTCTCCAAACAACAGGGCCTAGGATTTAGCTCAGTAGTTTTGCCCCCTGCCTTGCAAGAGCAAGGTCCGGAGTTTTATCCCCAGTACCAAAAAAAAAAAGTGCTATACAGATTTAATGCAATCACAATAAAAATACCAACCGCATTCCTCCTAATACTAGAGAAAACAATTCTAAAATTCATATGAATCAGAAGAGATTTAGAATAGAAAACAGTAATCCTGGGGAATAAGAGCAAAACTGGAGGCACCGCCATCCTGCATCTCAAATTACATAATGAAGCTAGAACAGTTGAAAAATAGCGCTGGTACCAAAATACACTTGATACAAAAACCATGTGGCTCAATGGGGCAGAATAGAGGTTGCAGACACGACCCAAGGCGTATTCAGCCATCTGATCTCTGACAAAAGGGCCAACAACATATACGCTGGAAGAAAGCATCTTTAACATATAGCGCTGCCTGTATACACACCGAAGACTGGCTCTAGACCCACATCTCTCACCAGGTACTAAACTAAAATCAGAATGCATCAAGGATCCAAATTATTAAACCAGAAATAATCTACTGGAAGATAAAAGAGGTGAAACTCCTGTGGGCATACACATAAGCAAGGACTTCCTCAACAGAACTCCAGTTGCACAAGAAAAAGTGTAAAGAATCAATAACGGATCACATCAAATTAGGGGCCGGGGATTTAGCTCAGCGGTTCGGTGGCCCGCCTTGCAAGCGCAAGGACCCGAGTTCAATCCCTGGTACCAAACAAAACAAAACAAAACGAAAAAATTAGAACGCTTCTGCACGGCAAAAGAAACAATCAACAGAGTTAAGAGACAGCCAACAGAATGGGGGAAAAAGTTTGTCCGCTACACCTCAGACAGAAGACTAATATCTAGAATGTATAAAGAAATTTTTAAAATTTGAAGCCCAAAATAAAAGACTCAACCCAAAAATAGGCAACTGAATAATGGACACTTACCAGAAAACGTGCAAATAAACATGTGCGGAAATATTCAACATCTCTGGCCACTAGACAAATGCAAATTAAAACACCCCTGAGATCCCATCTCACTCCAGAAAGAACGGCTATCACCAAGAAACAAATTAGTCACCAATGCTGGCAAGACTATAGGGGAGAAAGGAAAACTCAGGTTCTAGATGGACCAACTAAAGCTGACTTGAAAATGTCCCCGAATAAATACCACTTCTTTATTGAGCAGAGCGGAACGGTAATCTGGGGGTGAAGTTTCGCTAACAAATTTGTGAGAGAGAGAGAGACAGAGGGACAGGGAGAGAATGTTATTATAGATCAGCTAAATGACGGTGCATTGCTGAGCAAGCAAGCTGAGTGCTTCTAACGTCCAGATGTGCGTCAGAATCAGGCTAGATTTAAGGCTAGAAAGCCTTAAAGAGTACTGACACCTGGGCTCCGGGACAAAACCTCAGGCGGCACGGCTCTGCCATCAAAATCGTTATTTTTTTTCAGCCACTTGGTACACTGTCAGTGCTCAGAACCAGTGGTTTGGGACACTGCAAATATTGCGAATTAGTATCCAAGGACACGAGCCCAAGGAGAAGCCCATGTGTATGAAAAGCTCTGATCACGGCCACAGCCCCACACAGTCGTCCCTCGTACAAAGACACGATGTCGAGTTAGTCCCTGCTTGGAAAAATGGGAACTGGTGATTTCAGCCCAATGGGCCGGTGGGCAGAAACAGATCGGACTTCCCACGCCTAGCTCCGCGGCCCCTGTCACGGGGCAGACCTTCTGCGCTCCAGGTAACCGTGCGATGTGCTCATAAGCGACACAACAAAGATCGTGCCCTCGAGATTACGTGAAATAATTGGTGGTGTAAGGAAGCGATAATAAACACAGACATATTTTAGAGAGCGAGTGGCCTCTGTAACACTCACGCTGCGCGTAGCACAGAGAGGTGTCAGGAAGCGTCCGGTGTCTCCCAGACAAGATGTGGGCGTCTGCTGGGGAACTGTCATTTTGTTAGTTCCCATCCCAAGCACTCTGGGAGTTTTTTTTTTTTAACTTGTTAGTCGGGCACGTAACCCTGCGCACTGGGGCAGGACCCAAGCCGGGGTGGGGTGGGGGCAGCTTGCAAACGCAGAAAAGCTTATGCCTCAGAGGGAATACGTCCTTTAGGGCATCGTCCCCTCGTACATCACATCCGAGGACAAGTGGAGACCGGGAATTGCAAGATTGCACCAATGGCCCCGGGGGCTTGTGCAAGAGCGGAGTGCGTGGGAGGAAAGCAAAGCCCGGCCATCCTAAGTCCTCTTCCCATAGCTCAGAGCATCCAGGTGGCCATTCCGTACACAGATGCTCTGCTGAGTGGTCACCGTGGTGAAATCCAGGAACGCGTCACCACTTCATTAACACCATGTGGGGCCCATGTGGACAGCGGCACGGTTCACAGTAACAGCTGAAACTTGTGAACAGCCCGACTGCCATCAGCGGGAGACTGGGTAAAGAAGATGCAGGGGTTGTTTTTTTTCTAAAATGGAGTACTACTCTGCCTTAAAGAATGAGAAACTAGAGACATTTATAGCTAAGAGGATGCACACTGAGGCCACGCTCTCAAGTGAACTAAATAGGTGTAAGTACCGAATGGTTTCTTTGGTGTGAGAAACTGGAAGTGCAAATAAGGATCAAAATGCATAACTGGTAATGTGGAAAAGGAAGAAAAGGAAGAAAAGGGCTAAAGGAACAGGGGAAGTGGGAGGGGCAGGGGAAAGGAAAGAAGGGAAAGAAAAAGGTGAGAAAAGGAAAAATGGAATCCAAGTCTCTGTAAATAGGGAAGGGTGGAGGGGGTGAAGGGAGGGCAGGGGAATGGGGAAAAATAAGAACCGAGATGCATCATGTAAAGGGACAAGATCCCAACGATGAATGTAACTGTACTGTATTCCTAAAAGGTACCAATAAATTTAATGAAAAAAAAATCCTGTGCACGTGCTGTGAGTGTGTGTCTGTAAGTATGACAAGGACACTTCTTTTTTTTTTTTTTTTTTTTTTTTTTTTGGTTTTTTGAGACAGGGTCTCACTATGTAGCTGAGACTGACCCGGAATTCACCATGTAGCTCAGGCTGGTCTCGAACTCACAGCAATCGTCCTGCCTCAGCCTCCTGAGTGCTAGGATTACAGGGCATGAGCCACCATGCCCGGACGACACTTCATATTTTAATCTCTGGAAATTTCAAGTAAAAATAAGCATTGACCATCCAGTAGTGCAACTTAACCAGCCCCACAAGCCCGTCTTACAGCTCACATGTATCCTTTCTGCCTACATCTATCCATCTCCCTTCTCGTACCACAAGCCCTAGTAACTACCATTCTGCTCCTGGTGTCACCAAAGCTTGGTGTCTTTCAGGTTCCACGCATAGGTGAGATGACACAGTACTTGTCTCTGTCTGTGTCTGGCTTATTTCACTCAGCACTATGACCTCCACATTTTCCATGTTGTTGAAAACAACAGGATTTCCTTCTTCGTATGGCTGAAAAATACCCAACTGGAAAACGGTGCCACATTTTCCTCCCGCACCCATCCATCAAGAGACACTCAAATTAAGGCCATACCTAGGCTACTGTCAGAAATGCTGCAAAAGCACGGGAGGCAGAGTCTGATTTCACTTCCTTTGGATATATTCTCACGGGTGAGATTGCTGGATGCTGGGAGAGTTCTACGGGCGATTTCTCTAGGAACCCCCTCCTGTACCATTTCGTATTTCCACAGACGCCGCGCGAGTGCTCTCCCTTTCCACACCCTCCTCAGCACTTCCTGTCTCCTGTCCTTTTAAGAACAGCCTCCTGACAGGTGTGAAGTGATGTCTCGCTGTGCTCTTGCGTGCTTTCCTCTGATGCCTGGTGATGTCTGGTGTTTTCTTCATGTACAGATTGGCCTTTCGCTTCTTTGATGGAAAATGTCTATGTCAGTCCTTTATCCACCTTTTAATCAGGGTGCCGTTGGTGTTATTGAGGACAGTTCCTTTTACGCTTTAGATATGAATCCTTTGCCAAGTTTATCGTTTGGAGCTATTTTCTCCCACTTCACAAACTTTTTGTTTTCTTAACTGTTCCCTTTGCTGTGTAGAAACTTTTCAGTGTGACAAAAATCGCTCTTATTTTTACTTTGAATTGGTCATGATTTTGGTGTCACACTCAAAAAGTCAATGCTAAGACCAATGTCAAGAAGCTTTCTCAGTGCTTTCTCCTGGGAATGCTACAGTTTTAGCCTTACAATTAACTTTTGATTTTTATTAAGGCAAGTGTCCGGTTTTAATTCCTCCGCAGGAGTATATCCAGATCCCAGCACCATTTATTAATAAGACCATCCTTTCCGTGCTGCGTATTCTTGACACCCATGTCAAAGATTAATTGATCGCCTCTGGTTAGGTTCACTTCTGGACTCTCCATGCTGCTTCGTTGGTCTATGCGTCTGTTTTTATGCCTGTCCATACTGTTCTATTTCTATATTTTGTTTTGGGTTTTTTGGTTTTGTTTGGCTTGATTTTTTGAGACAGGGTCTCACTATGTAGTTGAGACTGACCTGGAACTCACTGTGTAGCCCAGGCTGGTCTCGAACTCACAGCGATCCTCCTGCCTCAGCCTCCCGCGTGCTGGGATGACAGGCGTGCGCCACCACAGCCGGCTTTATGTTATATTTTGAAAGCAGGAAATATGATGCCTCCGGCTTTAATCCTTCTTTCTGTAGATTGCTTCGGCCAGTTGTGCTCCTGTCTTCCGGTTTATTGAAAAGAATTACAAGCTCCTACTGGATTCCCTTTGGTTACCACTTCTGACCCTAGCTGCCCATCACCCTGTATGTGGTCCTCACACACTGACTCTTGTTCTCTGTGTGCTTAGGAGCATCTAGCACGTAGCCTCTGCGAAGCATACACAGCCCTGCTGTGTCATCAGTCCATAATCCTGGCCGTGAACTCCAGGTACGGAAGCTTCGACACGCTCTCACTGCGCTGACTCAGTACCCTGGAAATACCTCTAAAACTATGTCGCCGACTAGAGAAAGTGTGGACAGTACAGCTAAATTGTCCAAAGCTTGCTCTGGGTTTGTGAATTTGACGGGAATGTAGGGGCTCTTTACGTGATGGCGTTTATGATTTCTAAATGACTAGAGTATACTCATAAAGTCTTTAGATTTAAAGCATCATTGTTAAGAGAACATTTAAGGGCCGGGGATGTAGCTCAGCGGTGCCGCTGCCTGCTTCACAAGCAGAAGGACCTCTCAATCGCCGGTACCGAGAGAGAGAGAGAGAGAGAGAGAAGAATATTGAAGACCCATGTACCATAGAAAACCCCAAAGCTGGACCACGATGCCTAGTATACTCTCTGATCACTAAGAAAAAGTCAATAAGTTCGATTACATTTTAACTCTCATCAGTTTAATAATTATACACTTTTCCCTTGTCAGCTTTGTGGAACCCTTACAACAATATGAAAGTCAATTGGAGATAATAAGAACCTCTTTTAAAATGGCATTTGGACTGCCAAGTTTTGACAGAGGAACATTCCAGACCAGCGAGGATGATGTCAAGGACCTGGAGGTTTGTGTGACCTTTCTTCCTTACGCACGAGGTAACGCTGTGATGCAGCAAAGCAAACCTGCAGAGTGTCTTCACAGGCCATAGTCCTTGCTTTCCTCCTTCACTTTGCTTAGGTTTAATAGATAAATACGATTTTGGGGGGTTATTTTTTTGTTTTGAGGCAGGGTCTCACTATGTAGTTGAGACTGACCTGGAACTCACTGTGTAGCCCAGGCTGGTTTTGAACTCACAGCGATCCTCCTGCCTCAGCCTCCCGAGTGCTGGGATTACAGGTGTGCATCACCACACCCGGCCACCTCTCTCCGTTCTTACTGACAGTACATGGGGAGAACTTAGGCTACTGGGATGAAAAATGCTACATACTGGGTAAAATTTATTAAAGGCTACCAAGCTGGCTTTGTAAATATTTTTGTATTTCAGGCTTTATATCGAAATATTTTAAATTTGTTTGAGGACACTCTTCTGATCTTAGTGTCTAAAGACCTCTACAAACTACAGATCTTAAAGGTACAGTAAAGGAGAAACAATGTGAAAGTGGTTTTGGGAACTGAATAGTGAAGCTGAGAGAATTTGGAGGCACAAACTAGAAAAGGTTTAGATTGCTATGAGTAGAGCACTAAAGGCCACTGTATTGGTCAACTTTCCTGTTGCTGGTTCCAAACACCTGACATCACAATTTTAAAAAAGACGTTTCGCCAGGTGTGGTGGCGCACACCTGTCATCCCAGCACTCGGGAGGCTGAGGCAGGAGGATTGCTGTGAGTTCGAGACCAGCCTGGGCTACACAGTGAGTTCCAGGTCAGTCTCAACTACATAGTGAGACCCTGTCTCAAAAAAACCAAACAAAAAGAGGTTTCAGTCCTTGGTCGGCTGGCTCCAAGGCAAACAGAGGGTGTGGAGGGCAAACTGCTCAGCTCGCGGCTACCAGGGAACAGAAGGGGAAGGCACCGGAGACCAGACCGGTACCAAAGGGTGCCCTCCAGGACCACCGAGACGGTGCTCCCCCGCTGCCCTGGATGTTCCCTGAGACTCAGGTTGACAGTTAGGAGTAACCATCACACCCCAGCCCTTGTCAGCTTGAGGCCCAGGCATAGCTCCTTAAACCATCCGGCGTCTCCAAATAAATACAGTAACAAGTTCATGATTGTGCCTAACGCGATGGAATTAGCTTGCATCCAACCGTGCAGCAATCCTCTGCCCAAAGCCTCCGCCGTCTAGTGTCGCGCAGTAGCCCGTGTCCTGCTCTTCTCCGGAACCCAAAGGGAGCTCTCGGCTGGGCGTCCCTGCAGACAGTCCAAAGCCGGTTACCTTCGCAGTCCACAGCAGCACCGAATAAATATTCCCATGCTAAAAGGGAGACACAGAGGGCGAGGAAAGCACCAGCCACAAGTGAGACTGAGAAGTGAGACCCGGGAGGGCGAACAGGAAGCCCCGCGGCTCCTTTTGCAGCACGCGGAGCACACGGGTGAGATGTAAGCTTCCCCCGCGTCCCTGAAGTCTCTGCCACCCGCCTCTCGCGGGCTGTGCCACCAGCGTTCCTGACAGACCGTCCAGGCTCCTGGCACAGCCAACGTCCGCTTTGGCTTCATTTCCACAGTTGTTTTATGTAGGGGCTCCGCAGCTCAGGCCCTTCGCATACCTGCTTGAGCAGCAGCAGAGAGGCTAAAGCCACCTTGGACCAAGGCTGCAGTGGCATCCGGTACATAGAAGATGGCTGGACGTGGCTGAATGAACCCCAGGGGTCAATTCTCTAGGTGGCCCTTCTTGAGCAGGGTACCCAGGGCCTTCGTATTTCTGCACCTGAGAGCCTTGATGGGTGTGGTCTTGCTGATTCCATAAATCTCAACGTATCTATTCTCATTTCTGAGCAAAGGTACTTGGTTTCTTTTTAATGGCATTCATCTCTTCAACAACCTAACTCTTTTTGGTCCCAACTTTATACAAGGTTCCCTTTAGACCAAAATTTAAGTTTTTCAAATATTTCTGCTCTACTTTTTGCTCTTCGTTCTCACTACAAATCTGGCCAAACTGTGATGTGGCCAATTCTGGAAGCCGAGGCAGGAGGACTGCAAATTTGAGCCCAGCCTGGGCAACTTAGGAACTTAGCAAGACCCGGTCTCAAAATAAAAAAAAAAAAGGTCTGAGAATGTAGCTCAGTACAACTCCTACACACACACACACACACACACACACACACACACACGCACGCACATCTTTATGAAAGCAACTGGCTTTGGGGCCAAACGCAACTAGCAGCACCCATGCCACAGCCTGAATGTTGGGACGCCCTGAAATTTCCTCTGTCAGGTGAGTTCATCATCATCCTTAAACGTAGCCTCACTTCGCCCATGTCTTGAGATGCCAAGTCTGGGCTCTTTTTTTTTTTGCCAGAAGGTAACATGGATAGATAGCCTCTGCCTCAGAGTCCTCATTCCCAGCTGGAAACCCTGAGCTTCGCCTTTACGGTTCTGTCCTCACTGTGGTTCACTGAGCTCCCACTGAAACCGCCCGTTAGGCTCTGCTTACCGCCTTCCAGAGCTCCCCGGCCTACTGCTACAAACTGCCAGAGAGGTCCAAATCCACGATCCAGTTCCGAGCAGAGTCACAGCAATAACCACGCTTTGAAGGCAGCAGTCGTCTGTCGGTCAGCTCTCCTGCTGCTGGGACCCGGCACCCAACACCCTCCATTGAAAAGAGAAAAATTTGGTTCCCAGTTTCACAGGGTTCCGTCTGTGACGGACTCGCTCCAAGACAGGGACATCACGGGGAAAAGGCGAGGAGCGAAAAGCTGACAGCTGGGGAGCAGAGCAGAGAAACTGCCCGAGCAGAGGCCAAGGACCAGATCGGTCGCCGAGGTGAGCCTCTCTGACCCGTTCGGACAGTGCCCAGAAGTGGGCTTTGCTGGTTCCCTAGGTAGCCCTCAAGCCAGTCAAATCGACAGAGTTTGACCACCCCGAATCTTCTGAGGGATTACGTGTGGGGTCGCGATCAGGGTGGTGGCAGAAGTGGGAAGTACGGGCCACTCTGATGGGATTGGGGAGAACACGAGGGAGCGGACGCCATAAACTGGAAAGCATGGAGATCTTCTCCTGGAAGAACTCCCAGCCGTGCACTGGGACGTCTGCAGGTCACATCCCTAGGCGGTGAAATGGGCCAGGCTCTGCAGAGCCCCCGCGGCTGTTCACGGTGAGGTGAGAGAGGAGAGAGATGGCTGGAAGGGGAAGCTTGGGAAAGAAAGGACAGCGGAGTGGAAATACTTGGGGAGCTTTTGGCTTGGCCGTGTGAAAATGAAACCCGTTCGAGACTGAAGAAAGGTACAGTCCCACAACCACTGCCAGAGCGGTTACCGCGGGCAGAGGAGAGCCAGGTTCTGCGCGCGGAGACAGTAGGACCCCGAAGGACCCTAAGGACAAAGTCTCCGGAGAGACGGCACCAGGCGCGAGCTGCCTAGAAACACTAAAAAAACAGACAGGATCCACGGGTTGTGTCGATCACACATCTATCCGGGTGAAGAAGAGGGACGGAACCCTTTAAATACGGGAGGGTGTGAGGGGAAATGTGGGGCATGGTGGGGAGCCCAGTGGAGCATTTACAAATGTCAGCCTCGCTGCTTTTAAAGTGATGGTTTTCCTCCTCCTCCTCCTCCTCCTTCTTCTCTCCCTCCCTCTCTCCCTCTCTCTCTCTCTCTCTCTCCCCCCTGCATTCCTCCTCACACCGCTATCACACCAGCTCCCATTTATTGAGCATTTTATATCGGGCACTAAGATGAACATATGGGGTATCTCACTGAACCTCTGTGAGACAGTTGCTAGTGTTTCTCCCACTTGGCACTGAAGGAGACAGACTCCCAGAGCAAGGACAATACGAGCAACGTTGCTACCCAGCGCAGGAACCCTCGCAGCCTGGGGCCTGTTATCAGCCACTTGGTTTTCACACCTGCCAAGCCTGCGGGCCCCTGATTCTCACAGAGAGCTCCACCATCGCTCCCTGAGAAAACAGAAGCAGGCCCTCTGGGGCTTAGACACGCTTTCTCCCTGGGAACTGTAGTCCAAAACCGCACGCCGGGTGGGAGCAGGTGAAGGAGGGGAGTCTTGGCCCGCTTTGGCCTTGACGTGACCGACTCCAGGGCTGCCTGAAGAAGTCTGAGATGGGCCCTCCGGAGTCTCCTTCCTCCCCAACGTGCTGGGTTACGTCCCTGATTGTCCTGTTTAGAGGAACAGAAAGGTTTGAATCAAAAGTACAAGCTTTGGAAGTACGGCCATCTTCACTATGTTGACTCTTCCTACCCGGGAGCAGGGGAGATCTTTCCATTTTCTTATGTCCTCTTCGATCTCTTTTTTCAGAGTGCTGTAGTTTTCAGTGTAGAGGTCTTCTGCTTCTTTTGTTAGATTGATTCCCAGATACTTCATTTTTTGGGGTGCTATTGTGAAAGGAATTGTTTCCCTAATTTCTCTCTCAGTGAGTCTGTTATTTGTGTACAAGAAGGCTCTTGATTTTGGGGCATTGTCCTTGTATCCAGCTACTCTGCTAAAAGTGTCAATTACGTCGACAAGTCTTTTGGTGGAGTTTTTTGGGTCTTCAAGGTAGAGCATCATATCATCAGCAAATAATGACAGTTTAACTTCTTCTTTCCTATCTTTATTGCTTTCATTTCTTTCTCTTGTCTAATTGCTGTGGCTCATGTTTCCAGAGCTATATCGAAGAGGAGTGGTGATAGTGGGCACCCTTGTATAATAATACACAAGATTCTAATAGATAACTGACAATGTGAAATAGGAAGAAAAGGGCTAAAGGTGTAGGGAAAGCGGGAAGGGTAGGGGAAAAGGAATAAGGGAAAAGAAAAAAATATGAGAAAATGAAAAAATGGAAATAAAGTGTGTGTAAATGGGGAGGGGAGGAGGGGGTGAAGGGAGGGCAGGACAAGGGGAAAAAATGAGAACCAAGACCTGTCACGTAAAGAAGGTACAAGATCCCAGTAATGAATGTAACTGTACTGTATACCTAGAATGTACCGATAAACTCAATAAAAAGAAAAAAAAGTAGAAGGAAGTTTCCAACTAAGGCGCCTCCAGGAATATCCTCTCCACCCAAGAGGCAGAAGGTTTGGTGGGGGCGCGTTTGCAGAGGAATTCTGGGCTAGGATGACATTTAAGGGCCAAATAACACTTCAATTCTCTTTTAAAGCTGCAAAGCAGATTCTGTGATTTTTTTAAAATTGAGTTTCTCGGTACATCCTAGGCATACAGTTCCATTCATCACTGGGATCCTGTACCTTTACACGACAGGTCTTGGTTCTCGTTTTCCCCCCTTGTCCCTGCTCTATGATCCTTTTTTAAAAAGGGAAAATATGTACTTAGTGAAGAGAGAGGTGAAGTAGCTGATTGTCGCACCATAGACTCGTGCTAAACTTTTCGTGATGCCTGCCAAGGTGAGCCTACCGGATGTGAGTAACTCGGCGGACAGAATGAAATAAAATAGAACCCAGGTGTCGTCACTGTCGCCAGTGAGGGAGTGCGCTAGTGGCTCGTTGTCTGTATTTTCGAGATAAGATTCGGTGAGGCATGGATTAATGAGGAGACCAGAGGCGCCCTAGGTGAGGCTGGGAGTAGCAGGCGAGGCCTAAGGAGTGGAGATGCCTTGGCTCTGATGTGACTCTACTTTTCGCAACAGGAAATGACTCTGTGGATGGCGGAAGATCGTCTACACCAGCAAGAAAGAATAATGGTGACCATCAGCAGGGTGTTAAGATTCGCAGCCCGGAAAGTCAGGGAACACGTAAGTCACGGAATTCGGTAATGCCGCCCGTTCTGAAGACAGTGTCTGCGGCGCTGCTCACCGCGCCTCAGGCCTGGAGAGGGCCCGGTGCCGGCTTGTTGTTCAGAAATGAGCACCAGGAAAGGAAGGAGTCGATATCCTCCCTGGTCCGAGTCAGTCGGAGCAGGGTTTCTCAAACAGCTGCCTAAGACTCCCTGACCCTCCCAGAAACGGCATGAATGCGCTCAAATCAGGTTTTCAGCCACTCTCCGCCCGTCTCTGTGGATCACAGTGTCATTCCCAGCCTTACAGTTTTTTTCCCGCATTTTAATCTTTCTTCTTAGGTTTTTCTTTTTTTTCCCTGGAATATTTTTAAACTGTTATTTGTTTTCCATGCACACAAGCAGTTCTCGAGAACCTTCACTCTGAAACGTTAGCGGTCGAGCTTAAGTCTATCTTTACTGCTCCCTGCCACGGCCCTACCTATCCCTGTCAGCGTGACGCATCCTGTCAGGCCCCTCTGTGTGCACACACGTGCACGCACACACACACGTGCACACACACACGTGCACACAGACACGCGGATAGAGAGCTTTATTGCTTTCTGCTTTCTGTTTCTTCGTAAAAGTTATATTCATAATTGGTTTGGCAGTTGCTTTTTTCGCTAAGTCCATGGGTATTTTCATGTTAATGCCTTCAGATTTATTTCACCCTTTCAAACACAGTATATATCCAATAGCTGTTATATAGTATGACCTACTTAGGTACATTTCAGCTGATGAATATCAAGTTGAAATTTAATTTTTTCTAGTTCAAACAGTGCAAGTAATCATCTTTGTGCAAGTAGGTGAGTGTGTACTCAGAAATGCTTAGAAAGATAAAGGCCAAGTTAACAAGTACAGGAGGCTGAGTTTGGTAATGCTAATTGTCCTCCAGTTTGTACTCTTGTGTCTAAGGTAATTGCTCCCTTTCCGACAGCTTCACACGGAATGAAACACGATCAGGCCTTTCCACTTTGACTTTCTGTGTCCTGACACTTGCTGCGTTTTGAATGCTCTCTCAGGAGCCTCACACTACGCGTATATTAGCTATTGAGCCTCTGCTCCCCAAGCCCTCCTTCAGGGGACTGAAAGCACACTAACTGCATTTGTGGTTACTTGAGTTACTTCCGAAGGAGCTATGCACAAAGGGGTCCGAAATAAGCATCTGTGATGCTCCCTTCACACGTTGTGATCCTGTGTCTAGACGTCCCCTACAGACTCGTGTGCTCGGAGCTGGCTGGGCCTAGGCTGGACCGAATACTGGGATTCAGGGTGTGCGCTGCTAAATGAGTCCGCTGATTGGTGTAGCCTAGTTCCGGGTATGGACAATGACAAGCCCCACCTTGGCTATGGTGGCACAACCAAAAGGCTATACCCTGGGTGGAAGCAAAGGAAAGGGAGGCTTGCTGCTCGCTGCCTCCTGCCTGCTTGGCCACGGACTCTCTCCTCGGCGAGGTCCCTTTACCGCGCCACCTTGCCTCGGGACCAGCCAGCTGTGGACGGAAATCCCTACCAACTGGGAGCTAACGTAAATCTTTTCTACTTCAACTCTGGGTCTACTTCTTGTGCAAACAGACACCGGAATATCGAAACGAAAAAAATCTAGATGAGAGAGCCAGGAGAACAGTTCAGCGGTACAGTACTCGCTTAGCGTGGCTGAGGCCTTGGGCTCAAACGTTGGTAGTGAGATAAGAACGAGGTAGGTCAGCCTTTAAAATGTTCTTGCTCTGTTGCCATCGCTTGCCCTGATCACTAAAGCGTCTGTCTAGGAAAAGTAACCACACACGTTAGAGATGAAGGCACCCACCCTGCAGGCCACAGCACCAGCTCGGTGCCACTGTGGGTACAGCGGCCACGACTGTTGACAAACATCCCCAAGCGAGTGGTGACGCTGTCCTCAGTCCCTCTGTTCTTCGTCCACCTGTCTCCCCGCTCCCCACCTCCTCCACGTCTGTATCCTCTGCTCTAATTGCCAGACCTGTCCGTCAAAGCAAAACTCTTAAATATCTGAGCTGCTCTGTGTCCAAGAAGAGGTGAGAGGAAAACCATAAATGTTGTGGTAGTGGTTTTTACATCAGACACAAATGCTTTGGGTTCCAAAAAAATGAATTTCTTTGGAAAGAATGAGAGCAATTCCGGGGGTGGGGACATATTTCTCCTGTAACTGTAACTACAGTCACCTAAAGTGTTTCACATGAGAAAAGGGAGCATCAAAGATTTTGGAGCCCGGTGTGGTAGCCCAGGCCTGCAATCCCAACACTCGGGAATCTTGAGGCAGGAAGACTTCTGTGCGTTCAGGGCCAGCCTGGGCTGCAGAGCAAAAATTCTAAAAAATTTTTTTTTTTTTTTTTTTTTTTTTAATTCACACACCACCCTACTCCTCCATATTGTAGAATTTGTTCCTACGAATTGCTACCTGCTTTCTGAAGCAGAGGCTGAGAGTTGCTTATTATTGTTCTCAGCGCTTTGCCGGGAGCCCTCTGTGGTACGCGTTACCCTCTTTGTCCCCTCAGTACAAGGAGGCGTTTGCTCGCCTTCATTTCACAGATGAGAACACTGAGATTCAGTAACAGAACTAGCATTTGTTTGTTTGGTTGATTGGTTTGGTTTTTTCTGAGACAGGGTCTCACTCTGTAGTTCAGACTGAACTGGAACTCCCTGTGCAGCTCAGGCTGGTCTCAGACTCACAGCGATCCCCCTGCCTCAGCCTCCCGAGTGCTGGGATGACAGGCATGCGCCATCACACCCGGCCAGAACTAGTATTTGGAAACCGACTCTAAAACTCTGAGGTTTCCCCTGTAACCTTGTTCTGATAATTAGGGGATCAGATGCAGCCATTGAGTGTGGACTGTGAATGAATTTTCTCCCTTATTTCTATAGACAAATGTTGTTTGTTTGTTTGTTTTACAGACGAGTATTGACGTTCCGTGTTTAGGTGTCCTGGCAGCAGAACTGTCTCTTCTGTGTTCCCATGCTAATGACGCGGTCACACAACAAGCCTCCCTCGGAATGTATTACCTCCTCTGCATTGCGAAACGGCAGAGCGGTGAGAATGGCTCACTGTCTTTTCTAAAGGTCACTAAGAATCTGTCTCTAATCATTCTACTTGTGAGTTCCTGGAAGGCTCTATGTCTGTGAATTTTTAAATACTGCCCTAAGATCTACAGCTTCACTTTCTGCATTGTGTTTTGTTTTGATGAGACAGAGTCTGCCTTTGTAATTCAGCCTGGCCTTGAATACACTATGTAGCCCAGGCTGGTCTCAAACTCACAGCGATCCTCCTGCCTCAGCCTCCCGAGTGCTGGGATTACAGGCTTGTTCCACCATGCCTGGCTATAGCTTCACTTTCAAAAGTGTGACTTTTTGGGCCAGGGTTTTAGCTCAGTGGTGCCGCTGCCTGCCTCACAACTGCAAAGTCCTGAGTTCAATCCCCAGTCCAAAAAAAAAAAAAAAAGTGTGATTTCTTAAACTTTTTTTTAGCATGATACATCAATGAAAAAGTGATCAGTTATTTCTAGTCCTTAGCAGACACTGATAATAGTTAAGGCAAGGATGAGAAGAAAATACTCACAATTACATATCTGATAAGTTATTTCCAGAATTTACAACAAATATTCAAAATTCAAAAAAGATGGCCAAACTAAAAAAAAAATTATAATTCAAGTCATTTCACTAAAGAAATACAGACGGCAAAGACACATCAAACGGCGTTCCATATACTATGGAGTCATTAGACAAATGCAAATTAAAGCTACGGTAAGATATTACTATACACGCATTAAGGTCTAAAATAAAAACGGTTCGCAGGCGTCATGGCGCACACCTGTCATCCCAGCGCTCGGGAGGCCGAGGCAGGAGGCTCGCTGTGAGTCCGAGACCAGCCTGGGCTACACATTGAGTTCCAGGTCAGTCGCAACTCCATAGTGAGACCCTGTCTCAAAAAAACCAAAAGAAAATTGAAACCGTACAGTGTGTTACTCAGGATGTGTCACCACAGATGGGCACCTCCAAGACGTGCTGTTGGGGATGTGTAGCAGACACTTTTGCTAAGGTTGTATAGCAACTGGAACTCAAACACTTCCACACTGCTGAGAAGAAATGATTTGGCAGTGTCCTAAAAGGTTAAACGAAAGCTACCGTATGACTCATTCATTCCCCAACGTGGCATGCACCTGAGAAAATGAAGATAAACATCCACACGAACACCTGCACTGCCCTGTCTGCCGTACCTTAATTTGCAGCAGCTCCAGACAGGAAAAATCACAAATGCCCATCAACAGGGAAACGTATCGAGACTGTGGCCCAGAGAGTGGTGGTCATTGGTTTAAAAAAGAAAACAGGAATTGAGCTACTGACACATGCAATGACACGAGTCAACCTCGCTAACTGCGGTGAGTGAGAGGGGCCGAAAAGAGCACACACTCGACGACTTCACTTATTATAAGATCAGTAAACACAGCCTTGGCACAAGGCAGAGCAGCGGCTGCCCCGGAACGAGGGGGTTCATTGTTTGTAGCAATGTGTTCAGGGGGTGCTCACTCGTAAAGTGTACGAGTTGTATACTTTAATTGCTATATGTCAATAAAATCTCTATAAAGCTATTAACACACAAGCAAAAGCCCCACCTTCTTTGAAACTAAAGTCATCTTTAATCTGAATCTTTCACTGAGAGGTTCTGACTTTCCTGGTTTGTCATTCCTGGGCTCTTTTCAAAATGCCTCCAACTTCGTACTGAATGTAGTAGAGTATTTAATCCCACCATTTGGGAGGCTGAGGCAGGAGGATTGCCGGGAGTTTGAGGCCAGCCTGGAGACCACACAGAGTTACTGTCTCCAAACAGACAAACAAACAAAAACAGAAAGCCTCCAACTTTGCCCTCTGATGAATAAACTCCAACTTAGCAATAGCTTTTCCAGTGCACTGGACAATCTACTGTATTTCATGGCTTGAGGGTACGTGATATCAGTCAATCCATTAAAATTATATATGCCCTTTATTCCTATTTCACATGGCCTCTTTTTAAATAGTTGATGAATTCTGGTGCAGTGCCATCATGCTATTTTTATGTGACAAAAATATCAGAAGAATTAAATTCTGAAAACTTCAGGTCTCTAGAATGGGGCAGGATGGAGAAGTTAGAAATAGCAACGTCATTATCAAATAAAAACCTGAAATTGTTTTCCTTAGTACAGCAGACTTCCAAAGAGACAACCCTACAAAGCAGCATGAGTATGGAAGATCCTCCTTCCTGACTTCTGATTCTGAATTCCAACCCGAGACCTTGCAACAAGACAAAATTAAACTTGCTCAGGTATTTGTCAGACTCCATTTTATCCTGCAGCTTTCTTTTTTAACGTGTTACTATTCTCAGTGGCAACTTCTTTTGACAAAGTTTATGTTTTCCGTATATTTCTTCTATCTTAAAAAATACAGTTGAAGCAAAGGATAAATAATATACAAAGCGCCTGGTTTCCTCATCTCCATCCTTATTAATAAGAACTATGCCTATTTTGGCTGAGGCAGGAGGATGGCTGTGAGTTCGAGACCAGCCTGGGCTACGTAGTGAGTTCCAGGTCAGTCTCAACTACATAGTGAGACCCTGTCTCAAAAAATAAATAAATAAATAAAATTATCCCAATGCTGTCCACAAGAAATTTTTTGGCATACAAACTAAACAAAAATATCATTTTAAAGTGGAATTCAAGCATGAGTTTATCAGTCAGCCAAGGCACACTCCAATTAATTTCACTCGTATAACAAGGCACCTTCAGGGATGGGCAGTGTATCTTGTGGCATCTGATCTGGGTTAGCTGGGTTTTTTGTTGCTGTTGTTTTTTGTTTTTGTTTTTTTGAGACAGGATCTCACTATGTAGTTGAGACTGACCTGGAACTCACTATGTAGCCAAGGCTGGTTTCGAACTCACAGCGATCCTCCTGCCTCAGCCTCCCACGTGCTGGGACGACAGGCATGCACCACCACACCTGGCCCTATTTTTGGTTTTTTGAGACAGGGTCTCACT